AAACAAAGATCAAGCATCTTCAGATGTAACATCAGCCTTATTGAATGTGAAGGAAAGTGGACAAGCTCAAGTTTTAACCTTTGTACACAAAGATTGATCCTGCAAGCTGTGCCCTGGAATGATCCTTTGTCCAAAAGCAAATATCTTACAGTTGCTAGCATGTATGAAGTGGAAGCTTCAAGTATGGGAAAGGACAAAACCAAGACAATTAAAGTTGACTGGACTCTCTTACAGTGAGTTGTTGTTGCATATGAAGCTGGACGAACTATTGACCTGAATGAAATCATGAAACATGATCTCTCACCAGTCCCTCTTTCTTTAGCAGCATTGGATGACTCTTTGAGATCAGGATCAAAGTAACTTCTAGCTGATGATGCTGACAGCAAAAATCATTTGCTCTAAGAGCCTGCCTCCATATGAAGATGCAACACTGCTCATTGATGATATCTCTGTAGTTTATATCCTTAGAAAACCTCAAGGGGCAAAAACCGTTGGAGATTTTACTAGTGTTTTCTGTGCACTGGGCTTTAAGGCAGGAGAAATTAATTCAAGTGGCCTGACATTATCTTTGACCATTATCAAATTTTGTATGTAAAGTCCACCATTTGACCCAGGGCCGACAAGATCAAGAAACCCACGTCAATCAGAAGGTCAATTCTGTCTTCTGGTGTTCCTTTACCTCATGAGTGGACAGGTTTTTTAGCTGTTACTGAAAAGAAGATTGAATTAGTTAAGTTCCTAGAAGTGGAAATTTAAACCCAAGCAATACAAGCTGAAATACCTATGATTGTATGTGCAGGGAGAGGTTTATTGGAAATAATAACACAGAAGTTTGTCCTTTATATTTTCAATAAACCATGGTTATATTTGAGGCAGGGTGTTATTGAATTCATGCAAGGACTAAATGCAGTGTGTTATTCTCTGTTTACATCTACATAACAATAATAATGGGGAGCTGTACAGTGTGTTTCAACTTTCAAATGGAGTTTTGTACAACAATACATTCATAAAGCTATTAGTTCATCTACAAATATCATGAATTTCAAAAATATTTACTTAAAAAGAATGACTATGTTTCAGTTATATCCCTTCCATGATTGAATCATTGCTAATTGTGGTACTAACACTGGAGGATTGCCAAATTATTGTTAATTGGGGTACTAACACTGGAGGATTGCCAAATTATTGCTAATTGGGGTACTAACACTGGAGGATTGCCAAATTATTGTTAATTGGGGTACTAACACTGGAGGATTGCCAAATTAGCAACAATTTGTTCATGTCATTTTTTTAAACAAATGGTGCAAAGAAGAAGAAAAAAACTAGGCAGAAGAATCAAATAGTGAAAATATAGTAGCACCATAGATTCACTAATATTCACACTTCAAATGCTTAAGGTCACAAATCCCTGCAAACATTTTTTCTTTAAAAAAAGGCTTAAGACATGCATGATTGGTAGCTTTATGATAGACTATCTCACTTCATTCCCCCTCCCCTCAAATCTGGCCTTTATATTAAAATCTCTGTTTTATTAAAATACTCATTCAGAAATTATTTCAAATTGTTCCAAAAATGAAATCCACTTTCAGTTCAACCTTCAGGGACAGAATACCATTTGATATCATGAATGCTGAACCACCTATATTGTAGAGACATCAAAACTTGTAAACAATACACAAGGGAACAAACAGAATGGAAAATATATATTCTGTGTTGTAGACAAACATATTGTAGTTGTAATGAAATTAATTTCACATTACCCCAATTTTATTGCCTGTTTGTTAAAATGTTTGCCCATAAAAATAAGATTTTATTTTCTGAAACTACATAAACTGTAGAAAGTTTTGAAGTTTCAATCTATTTCATCCACTAGTTTTGTTTTGCATGCAGTAGGTGTGTCAAATCAATGAACCAGGGCATGATAGAGTTAATGCATTGTTTTAGGGAAAGAAATCATGTCAGATACCATTTTTTAATGACCTGTGTATAGAAAATATATATGATATATATATTTTTTTTCCCTTAAAGTATGGTCATTAAGAGAATTCCTGATCCTTCGTTCCTTTGCATTTCACAAGGTCACTGGATCCTCTAGCAAATGAAAGATTTAGCAACAAAGAACTGTGTGGAACTTGGATGAAACTTGTTACTTGGATACAGGAAAGGATGACTGCTGTAATCTTGCCTCTCTAGAGAGCATCAAAACTTAATATGTAGGACAAATACAGTTTGATAATTGATGCTACTACTAAAAAAAATTTTAAATTAGTAATTTTTCAAAAGAAAAAAATTTTACAGAAAAAATAAAGGCACAGCAAAACATAATTTTTTTTCTCAGTATAAATGGACAATTTTTGTTTTTAAACCAAAGGCAGTCACTGTTTTGGCTGCAACAGCCATTACCTTTTTACTGAATAAAACATCTTTATTCTTTAAATTATTTTAAAAGCTAGAAATAAGTTATCTCAGGCTTTTAATTTTTACATAAGTTCTGCCAAAACCTGTAATATAACCTAATAATGAAAATTGATTCTATTTACCAATTTCAACATTGGTGAACACGACTTGATCTTTTGCATTGAATATTGACATAGTATTGTCAGGTTTAACAGAGTATTATCTTCATAAAAAAACAAACAACATTTACTATCTTACTACCAAAAGAAATTAACTTGTTTATTGAATGTTGTATTTGGCTACAGTTTAAATGGAATATTGTTTAAGGGGTAGATATATACATTTATAGGGTTTAATTTTGTTAGTAGTCCAACTGTTATGAATGATGTATGATTCTTGTCATATTCACTAACAAGTACCCTCAAGTTTAGAGTGTTTAATTGAAACTAATACATCTACAAACTTAATACACAGTCTAAATTATTTTGACAACTTTAAACAAAGTCGATGTACATTTACATTTTGTAGACATGATCATAATATTATCCGTATTATATATTATATTGTGTGTAATCTTTTTAATACATTGTTTTTGCATTCAGATATACAAATTTTATTTACTGCATAGAAAAGTATTTCATCACAATAGTACTTTAGTACTTGTGAAAGTATAATTATACATGATATTTAAGTCTTAGGAAAGCACTAACATGCTTAAACAACCAAGGGTCAATCATAAACTACAAATTTGTATTAACCCTACAATGATTGGTGAGCACTTTTCAAGTGTCTAGTGCACATCTGTTTATCAAATTCAAAATTTAAGTGGAAATAATAAGTCTAATTTGATTTCAACCATTATTTACACAAAAATATTTTGGAACTGATGTTTTGTAACATTTATTTTGTACAATTCTCATAGAAAAATGTTGAAACTTGCAGCTTTAAATTAATTGTGAACCAAAGTATTTTTAGCTAGTGACCTGTCTTTTGGATATGTTATATTTAAATTAATTTGCAGCTTTAAAAAATATTACAAATGCTTACTTTTATTGCTGATTTTAATTTCCAATTCTCGTCTTCTAAAACTGCAAACTTTATATTTGTTTTGATTAAAAAAAAACACTTCATACACCTTCCTGTAATTGTAATGTAATAACCTTTTTTTAACTACCATCAAACTTATAATTAGACAAAAACGTTTAAAATTATTAATCACGTTTAATTTAATAAATGAAATACCTTTTAAGTCATCTTATATATATTTATATGCATTTCTTTGCCTATCCAAGTAGTTAAACTGATAAAGCCTAATGTAAACACAACCTAACCTTGTCAGTGAAATAAAACTTGCTATGGTCAAGTGCAAAATGACTTAACTAAATCTATCACATCTTGTTCCAAGAAAAAATTTATCATACTGTGAGATCATTCAAATGAAGTACAAAATGATAGTGTCAATTTTTCACAAGTTTAAAAAAAAAAATCAGCTGTAACTGTGACTGAAATTTGTCACATTTTTTTCTACCAACATATCACCAAGCTAAGATTTTATCACTTTGTCCTGATCTCTACATGAATTATGTGTTTAAATCAAAGCCGAGATATACGCAACTACATCAGACCATGACAACTGATCATTAACTAAAATTCATAAAATTACACTTGCATTCAAATTAAAAGGTGAATTTAGAACTATAATATTATGACTTTCTTCCTAGATGCAAAGAGTGCCATATGATGGTCAGAAAATTGGCCAACACTATTGATTTTGTTTGGAGCACACTGAAATCAACCCCAAATCGCATTGTGCAATATTCATTTTAATGTATAAAACTAAAAAAGTATATTTGTTTATTAATAAATTTCAACTCCTGGAATTATTTTACAAGTGTGTGAAAGAATGACTACAAGTTTATTTTCTGTAGTTTATATTTCAGTGGTGCAATTTTCCCTTTAGATAGAATGCACTCATACAGGCATGATAGAGTTAAACACCACAAATGTATAATAACAATTGTGAAGGGGAATATTAGTAGAACATAGAACTTTACTTTTTAGATTAAAGAAACATTTATGAATGGGTTTCTACACATTTTGTAAGTGGATGGATGGCTATGGAAAACACTTAAGGAAAACACACACTACAGGTCCAGAAAATTTCAGAATTCCTATACTGCAGCATAAACATTAATGTTTCAACAAAATTGGCCATACCATTTATCCAGAAACAGTATCCTTCCTGATCCTATATCCCTATCCAAGTGTCCATGATTCCTTTTATCCAAGAATTGCATCCTTCCTTATCCTATATCCCTATCCAAGTGTCCACGATTCCTTTTATCCAAGAATTGCATCCTTCCTGATCCTATATCCCTATCCAAGTGTCCATGATTCCTTTTATCCAAGAATTGCATCCATCCTGATCCTACATCCCTATCCAAGTATCAGTGATTCCCTTCCCAGCATGTAACCCATTGCACCAGTAGATCCATATGCTTGCCATCAACTCCTGGCTTTTTCTACTCCAAAACCCTCTAGTGATATATTACAAAAGCAGTAAGGAATCTCAGTCAGTCCAAGAACAGGAATACTGCTCCACATTAGGTTCCTTAAAAAATCCATTTTATTCTTTATAGTACATCCAAGGACCACAACAGAAAACTGTAGACTTTCTGTTCCCAGCTACATCCATGTTACAGGTGTAACTCCATTATACAATCAACTTTATTCCTTACAGTACAGCCAAGGATTCTGGCTATCCATAGGGATCCTTCCCATGTATTGTTCTACAGACAAAATTTAATATAAAAAGTTTATTACAACACACAGAAAACATGTGAAAAAGTATGAATTTTAAGACACCATGGGACAAATACAGATTTTCAAAGGTCAAGTATCATCTAATTCTGAAGTACTGGAGTAAAAAAGCAATAATTCAGTTTCACATTCAACAAATCTAAAAAATATATGCCACTTTCACTGATAAAAAAAATTAGGGACATACTTTGATCTCCTCTCCAACAAAGAAATACTTCATGAAACAACATAACTATTAGAACAATAATCAAACTTTCAGAATACTAATACTAGTGGTCAGTGCAGTTACCTTGTAGGCTTTTCACATTGCTGAATCAGGCTTTGGTGTACTCATTTTGTGTTCTGTACAGTGTACTTCATGTATGTTCATATCAAATAAACCAAATTTGTTGCTTAATTTTACATTCGTATATATTTTTAGATTGCTCCTAACAAAACAGAGAATAAAGCTGTTGTAAAATATTTTAGAACTTTTCAACTGTCTTTTCCTTAGAGTTTAAGAATACAAGCAACTGAAGTTGTTTTACATTTCATTTTAGGGTTAAGATTTCAGTGTACATCCAGTGATTTTCATATATTGTTAAGGAATTCATAATGATATAATTTTGAAGACAATTTATTGTAGCCTGAAGGAATTTGTTCCCCTGCACAAAACTTGTTTTATAATTTGGGACAAAATCCTGTACGATCTTGTTTACAGGTGGTGGTTATCTTTATTATAATCAAAATTCAAAAATGGGTAAGTGCATGCAACAAGTTTCATTACCTTGGTACTATTGATTTTAATCACTGGTTTGTGGTAATAGATCAATAAACACTGATTCCAGAGTCACATTATAGCAAACAAATAATAAAGCAATTATTACTGTTACAATGTAAAGACATAAAAAAAAAAATTTGCTGGGATGAGTCTGCATAGAAACTTACCAGTAGAAGTTAAACTGGATGTTTGGTTGGTTTTTGTTTTTTTATGAAAAAAATCTTTAATGTATGAAGAAGTATGGAAAATGAAATAACGTTACCATTTTGGGAAGGTTTAGTAAGCCTATAGTTCAAGGTACAAATTTTTATTACTCTTGTAACTTTTTAGAAAGAATTTCTCATATCAATTTATTGATCTTATGACACTGAGACTACATGATTTTAGTGTCATCACAACCATATATTAATGTTTGTTGTTAAATACTTATTTTAACAAGTTAACAAATGTAAAAAAGTATGCCTATGGTGTATAATTATGTTCAAATTTACAAATTAAAGCAAATTGAACAAAACCTTTTGCCTTGGTATTTGGTTGATAACCACGAGTTTTTGTTAAATAAAGGCTGATAGGTCTTATTACAAGCTTCATTTAACAATTGTATTTAGCCTTTTTTTAAGTACCTATGACCACAAGAAAGGGTGGGTGGGGAAAGACAACTTTATGTGATTTATTAAAATGGAAGAGAAAAACATTTTTACTGTGATGAAGTTCCAAATCTGAATCTGCATCACAGACTATCTAAAACTCAGTTAACTGAATTTTCAGTAAATGAAAATTTTAGGCAGAGTGTAGCATATACATTTGGAAAATTTTTTTATTCAAATCCTGCTACTATGAAAACTTTAAACATAAGGATAAATAATTAAGTACTTGTATCCAAAATGTTTCCAATCTAAGTAATTACAGTTGTTATAAACTTGTAACATTATACTATACTTAGTGCTACATAGGTCAAGTACCAGTCCCAAGAAAAATAATCTTTAAAGAAACTTTCATATATGCTCCATACTCGCTAACAAATATCTTACATGTGCTGTTTTAATTAGTGTAATACCTGCTGAATGCAATTTATAAACCTACAGAGTATTAGTGTATGCTAAATCTAACTATGAGACAGCTGATAAAAAAAATTTAAGGTGAAATCTCTTTGCCTGTACCTAAGTGGGTATAATGCAATGTCTGGTTCAATTTCTTTCTTATTCCTACTCAATTGCAAAAATCACTGTACACAGCTAGTCTAACCAATCCATCCATTACCTCATAGCACAAGGCTTACATACAGACTTTAACCCTTTGATTGTCACATACTCTTTAAACTACTTTCTGTGCTTGTCACGAGGTTTTACAGAGTTACATTGACAATTTAATTAAATAACTTTGCTATTAATTTATTTTGATGAAATTAGCATTATCATGTATTTTATATTTTAAAGTTTTAATTTTTTTATTTCAAAAGAAACCTTTAAAAATACTTGAATTTCACTTTTATTTTTACATAATGCATGAGCATTCACAAATCTTATTATTTGGTCTCTTTTACTTGAATACTACTACATCTGCATTGTATATGTCTAGACTCAAAACTACATGTACAGTGCTATTTCCCTGGTACCCATTTCAAATTCTTTCAGGTCAATTCAGAGAACAAAAAATAAATATTCCTACCCCATGACAGTAGAAACACTCACCTTATAGATAAATAAAATCATAAAACTTTAAGGGGACAAAAAGGAGCTTACTACTAAACCATCAAGGATGTCCCTTCCATCCCAGGTATCATCCTAGTGGCTCTTCTCTGAACCTTCTCCAACAATTCATTGTCCTTCTTGAGGAAGGGAGCTCAAAACTGTATACAGTACTCAAAATGAGGCCTAACATGGGATCTATACAGTGAAACAATAATATCCCTCATCTTATATTCAATATTTCTATAGATGCTACCCAAAATCCTATTAACCCTTTTGCTAGCTACAATACACTGTTTAGATGATTTAAGTGATTTTTCGATCACGACACCAAGATCTTTTCCTTCAATCATAGTATTTAATGTATTCCCATTTAAATTGTGAAAACCTACATGCATCATACACTGTGGAGAGTTAAACATCATCTGCCACATATTGGCCCAATGCATCAAATGATCTAACTCTCACTGTAAGTCTGACAGTTAGCCATCCCAAAAATCTTAATGTTGTCTATAAACTTCATTAGAAATCCATATCATTAATATAAATCACAAATAACAAAGGACCCAGCATAGAGCCCTGAGGCACACCTCTTGTAACTGTGATCCAGTCAGATCTAGCTCCATATATTACTAATCTCCAGCCAATTTTCTATCCAATTAAATAACAGTTCCCCCACACATTTGAGATTTCAAAGCTATGTGTATTTATTGTTTATAATCTATAGAAAGAGCTCATTTTAAACCACAATCTTTTAATGGTTATTTTAAAATTGACAAGCAAAGTACATCTAACAGCCGAAGTATTCTTACAGCTTTTGTCCTAGCTAGCACTTAGTGTTGTTTCTCACCTTGATATATATTAGTAAGATAGTTTAACTTTATTTGGGTTTTACTTTTATATTTTAGTTAATTATGTATTATTTGTGTTTTAAAATTAATATCTGAAAGGTTTAGGTTACTAAGTGAGTGCAAAAACTTTTTTGCCGAAAGCAAAAGTATCTCTGCTGATGATACCATTATATCACCCAGGGGCACTCATGCATAACAAATGGTAAAGGACAGGAAAGAAAAATAAAACGTTAAAAATAAACTAAGTGAAAAGGTAAAGATGTGAACTTGCACAAATAACCCAAAGATGATAATTCAAGATTATTCAACAAAGAATTAAAAAGTATACATATTTCTATTTCTTAATTTTAAATATTTAATTGCACTGTACATTGATGATAATAACTACAGTTAGTGTTATGGTAGTAAAAATAAAATATAAATATTTAACTTAAATTTCAGGAGGTTCTAGAGGTTATGCAAATGAAATTTGAAAACCGCAAGATTAATAAAAAGTATTTTTATATTTAACATGAAAATCACCTTACACTTGAACTATTCAATTTTTAGTTGAAATAGCAGAAAAATCAAAATAAAACATTTTATTCTTCTGAACCTGCATGCCTTTAAGAAGGTTTCTGTCAAATTTCAAACAGTTTCATCCACTAGTTGTATTTTTGGAAAGAAATATGACAAGAGTAACATTAGGTCTTCCTGATGCAAGGAACCAGTAACCAAAGGAATAATGCCACAAGGCAAAGACATTTGACTGACTCTTTCTTATAATTTATAAGATGGGCAAAAAATATACACAGGCACTGAGGATGCTTTTCTTAGATAAGGCTTCTACTCTTCATACTCCCTATGTTAAAAAAAATAGTAAGAAGCCCAACTACATTTGCTTTCTTTTGGTCTAAACAAAAACGATAACAGTAGGTTTGATACTAGCTCTGCAACTGAATAAGGCAAACCAAGTGTTTTCAAATAAAGACAGGTGGAACCTATAAAGGATACTTTGTCATTATTTCCATAACTCCTCACCTATATTCTGTTTTATGTTTAAGTTAAAAAAAAAAAAAGATTTTTCAATAATAAACAAAACCACCTTTATTTTAAAAGGTATAATGGTAGTAACAAACTATTAAGTTTTCTATTTATAATGCTCTACAATGTTAAAATCTCACAAGCAGACACAGGTTCTCCTCCTGGCTTCTGATGTGTACCTTTGATGGCCCTCAGAGCTCTCATTTTGAATGTTTACAATGTTTTATTTGTTTTCATTGAAAAGTATGAAAGCTGAATGAACTTGATTTTAAACTAATAACTCAATTTCCTATCTGTCTGTGAAACATAATAAAAGCATTGAAACAAATAAAAAGCTCTCAATTTTTTTGGTTTTTTTTTCATGCAGATGTGACTTGTTTATTCATTCTTTTAAGTAAATGCCTAAAAAGCAACATACTTTTCTTTACCATGGTTAAGAAGTTAAAGGTTTTAAGAATTTATAACATGCCTATACAAGGACATTTAAAATTGTTTAATCAACATCATTAGTTATGTTTGATGAACACAACAAAGAAGAAGCACATATATGGAAATATCCTAAAAGTTTTATACCTGTTCTGAATAAGAAAACAAATGCTTCAGTTAGCAGCTCTGTGCATAACTAACAACAATTGTGTTTTGATTTTCTCATGGTTTCTTTATTCATACTGAAGATGAGTTTTTCTTTTTCATTTTGACATATTTCTTTTTTTCTGATTACAAAGATATCCTTTCACTAAACAATACAAACTTTAAACTGTTTTAAAAGTTATAGTCATTGAAAATATCCAGTTTATTAGATGTGCCCATGAAATGCAAGCTTTTACTTTAAGAGTAAAATGCAGGTGGATTTACTTTACATAACACTTTTCTATTTAAATCGAAGTCTAGTATCTTCTAAGATAATGGTAACACTAATAACAGAATAACTCACTCTAAGCCATACAGTTACACCAGGAACAGAAAGAAAACTATACACAAAATATTAGCACTATCAAGCAATACAACTATTTCTATGAGGTACAAACAAGACTGAGGATTATTTCTGGGTAAATCTAAACAATGTAAAAGCAACTTGAGTATTATCATTCAACTGAAACATGCTTTAATTAAAAAAGCTTGCTGTTTTCTTAAGAATACTTTGATACATTGCCATACAGAAGCCTGGAAAAGCTTAAAAACCAGAAATTGGCTACGATTGATAAAGAATTTCCATAAACAATGAAAATCTTAGATGCAGTTAAATAATTCTTTATTCCAAAAGTTGCAGTCAATCACAAATATTAAATTGTCTTTAAATGTAAGATCACTTTAGTTGCAGTCAATCACAAATATTAAATTGTCTTTAAATGTAAGATCACTTTTGCTAGTTTCTACTTTGCCCAAATATTTGTGAAAGCCTTTAAGCATTCAATTTCTATAAACTTTGGAATTATATTCAGCTTTATCATAAACTGTCTAGTGGTGTTTACACTGTCAAGAAATCACCAGTGCAGTCAGTACTGTTTGATCAAAGAAGTATTCCTTTTGTCACTAGCTATCATATAACAATTAAATACAGTCAACTCAGTGAAAAAAAAAGTACATTTAAAGTCAAGTTATTTTCCACTTTTCATAAGAGTTCTATAGTAAAAGTTTGGTAGTAGTTATGAATGTGAAATATCACCCAAGTAAATATACAACTAAATGTAGTCCCTCTCAGAGTTTTAAAACATAACAAAAAACACCAATCCTATGAATTTTCATTAAAAATGGTATTTTCATTTTGGCACATTAAAATCCTTTCCAGCCTAGTGGCATTATTTCAGCCACTTCTGCATTCATACAATTTAATAACTCAGAGATGAAACTATATCTGAAGTACACACTTCAAAGAAAGCATGATAACCAATGAATGTTTCTGATCTTCAGTTACATTTTTGGTAAATTTACAATTCATAACACTAAAAGAAAACATTCTACATGATGTAACTAGATACTATAGCATTACTTAAAACTCCTGTAACTGATGACCTGAAAGCTAGGTTCCACAATCAGAGGCCTAATGATGTCATGCACTAACCAGCTTTATTGAAATTGTGTAATAAAATGTTTTGTATATTTTTTAAATAGTGTTTATATCCCTATAGCATACTTTTATGTTATTTCAGTAACTGTCTTATTTACAGAAATTTCAAAAAACCCTCACTAATCTCTAAATTCATGTCAGAATGAAGTTCACCTTATGATACCATTAGTTTCAAATTAAAAGAGGGAGTTTTATAAAGTGAAAAGGAACTGCTACAGTAATTACTTTAACAAATAAAAAAGCAAGCTGGAAAACCAATAAAAATAATTTATCGCCATTACATAGAATATCAAAAATACAAAGCAATGATAAACTTGCATTATTTGAAATTGTAAGATCCCAAAATGCTTCTAACATAACTGAAAATTTAGAAATTTACACCCTATATAATGGGGAAAAGGAACTCTACAGCAAATAGATTGCATGGAGGAAAATCTCATATTTCAGAAGATATATTTATGATTTTGGTAGCTTTAGAACTTTTGATATTGCAAAATAAAAATTCTGAGTTGAATTTTACATTTTTCATACCACCAACTTAAAAAACCAGTTTTCAAACTATTTCAACTAGAAACAAGTAGAAAATATGAACAGATACCCTAGATTTGCAGTTTTATCTATACCAGGTGAAAGTGTAAATATTTCTACTCACTAAATAAAAATTACAATTGTAGGGAGTGGCAAAAATCTAAATTAGGATTATCAGTTTGTTTTTTAATTACTTTTATCTAAAAAATTGTAATGAAATAAGCATCAAAACAAACTTCTACACCTGAATATTTCAATTTTATTTTGGAAGAGATTGAATGGGAAAGATCAGACAAAACGGTGTCACTTACTCTCATAAAAACACAAGGTACTAAGCTGAAAAGGGGGTTAAATGAACATGACTCTTGTTGTCATTCTGGTACAATTGATACAATATGTCGCAAGTGTGTCAGAATAATTATGCATGTTGTTTAGCATAAACTAATAGAAATAACACACTCATTCAAATCAAACGTAATAAGAGCAGCTTATAATTCCCATTCCTACTGTTTTAACAAAGTAATAAAGGTTTACAACAGACATATCCAAGCAAGTGCAACCGATTTGATCAGACAAAGTGAGCTTTCTAATATGAATGTGAAATGTTCTAGAAAACCTTTGGTGTTGTAACAGTTAAAATTTACACAAACAATTTAAATTTTGAGACAAACATGACATCAACAACACAATGATATTTCGCAAGAAAATACTTTCAGTTGACACTACTGCAAAAATGAAAAATCAACCTGCCAACAAATATCTCATGGACTCAGCACAAAAATGCTAGAGCTGATGAAGTTGCATACTTTCTCATTAATTGGAGCGTGATCTTGACCTAGACATGGATCGAGACCTTGAATGTGACCGAGATCGTGATCTTGAGCGCCGAGCAGGTGAATACGTAGGAGAACCTCTAGTGCGTCTTGGCGAGTAACTTCTGCTTCGTGAACGAGATCGCCCTCCACCATCTTCTTTTACTTGTACATAAGCTACTTCCCCCTATATTAAGGAAGAGACAAAGGTATATACATAATACATTTAATTTACTACTTGAAATCATTAAGAAATTAAAATACATTTATAAGCCTATAATTAACTTCTCTCTTAGATTTAAAAGAATCTGATGTATTCCATGTTACTTGTCCTTTTCATTCAGCAGCATAGTAATAAATTTTTCATTTGTTGTGATTGTTCATGAAGCCAAATAAATAAAAAATGAATTGAAAATATTTCCAGGTTACTGGAAATCTGAGATTATTGGATACAAAATTACAAGATCCTGGGAGAACATATGTGAAAATTCTGACAAGGATCTTGTATAAAGCACAGAAAAAAATTTAAGTTAAAACAAACCTTCTGAACAGAGTAGCATTGGATAGTTTCTTTTTAACGGTTTTCATAAAAATTGATATTTCCCTGTCACAACGCACCACACCCATGCAATTTGCACGTGCAAACAAAGTTGTACATGATTTTGAATCACCACACACATGTAGTTTTTCTCAAGAAAAGACCTGTCTAACCAGTAATTCTAGCAGTCTATTTGTCATAAACAGTGGAAAACATTGGATGTTCAACTAACCATTCAAATATTAGTTTCAATAAATTAAAAATTACAAATATTGTTTATGTAAAAGCAAGTATAAATATTACACATTAGTCTCAAACAGTTTCCACTTTTATGGTTACTTGTTCAAGTAATTTTTCTTTAAGATACCAGTATCACTATAAGCCAAAACTTACATATCAAGAAAAGAGCACTGCAAGATAGATAATTAATATAAGCATGTGAATATATCCATAGTTGTAATTTCAAATGCAACAATACAACACCTTGGAATTTTCACACTTAAGTAATCAAAGTAAATAAAAATGCATCTCACTAACATTTGTTAAAACATAACATACTGTCCAAGTAGTTTCTAATTCAGACTTGTTCCTCCACTAACTTAAGTGGAACCAATTATTTAAAGGATTTTCTTAATTGTAAGAGGACTATTAACATTTTACCAGAGTGTGTGCTAGCACTCTCTGTATAGGGATGTTACAGATGCCTGTATTAAAACAATACAAAAGACATCTGGATTTTGTTCTCTACAGGTTATCAGAAGCTAGATATGAAGAGCCACCTGGCATAGTCACTTTTATCTCCAGTGCATATGCCATTCTTAGGCCACCCAGAGCATCTCAAAGTCAAAAACAGAGGAATAGCCAAAACCTAAATTTCTTAATTTTGTTTGTCATCATCTTTCTTCAACAGGCCTAGCACCTACCTGTGAGATATACATGACTGTTTCATTTAAATGTAATAGGAGAGTTATAATTTAGATAGTTATAAAAAGCAAGAATTTATTGTAGGTTTGTTTACGTAATTGTGTACAAATCATGCATTGTGTAGTTCACTAGTCAGTGATTGTTAATTTGTTGTAACATGTTACTTGAACCTTCTATGTTTTTCTCATTGTTTCATTGAGCATAGCTACATCATAATGTCTAGTTGTTTGTAGAAAGTTCTAGCCATCAGATCTAGACTGAGTTTGTAAGTTTAGCCATAAAGTGTATATAGTGGCAACTTTTAAAGTGTAAAGAAGAAGAATTTGTCTTGTTAGTTGGGTTCTAAAGTAACTGAACCAGCTTGTGTATGGACTTTTGATGTAAAAAGAGTCAATTATTTAAAGCTCAGGATACAACTGTGGTGATTAACAGTGAAATGAACATTTATATATATATATTTATATATATATATATATTTGATTTGTTTCAAATTAA